TTTTGCAACCAATCGAGCTTTCAACCACTCTATACCACCATCAGGTAAATACTTAACAGTGTATACCCATTTACAACCTATAGTATGCTTACTAGGGAGAGCATGGTGAGATCCCACGTATGATTATGAACCAAAGCTGAGAGTTCTATTACATGATGTTACCCTGAGGTAAGGACTTCCTGGACATTCGTAGGAACAAAAATAGAAGACAACAAAGAAACAAACTGGCGATGGGAAGCAGAAGGGTGAGTATAGAAACATAATTGGAAATGGGATGAGTATGCAATTGCGTTTACCTTTCCACAAGACAATAGGAAGATCCATGTCAAAAACAAGGGGTGGAGCTGGTGTGGGGACAACTGCCGGATCTGTCGACAGTGAAGAAGTTGGAGGATATTGTACATGTCGTCAATGCGTATATACTTAGCGGATGGGTGGCCGTTCAACAAGAGACTGCACTGGAGGTGAAGACTTAGTCACAATTGGAACAAGTAGAATGAGGTCCTCAAACAGGTACTGGAAGAGGAGGTGGAGAAGAAGAAGAGACATCACCTGACTTAGAAAAAACATAACAGACTCAAAGAAAGTAACATAAAGACACACAAAGGAATGTCGAGAACTAGGGTTATAACACTTATACCCTTTCTGGGTCCAGAAATAGCTAAGGAAGATACACTTAGTGGGTTATGCATCTAATTTGTCCATTCCAAGTCCAAGATTATGGACAAATCACACGCACCCAAAAACCCTGGGAGTAAGAGGGAATGAAGACGAGGTAGGAAACAAAGTAGTGAAAGGAGAATGACCGACCTTCAACGATGGGTGTGGGCATCCGGTTAATGAGGAAGCAAGATGTAAGCACAACATCACTCCAAAAATGTTTGGGTACATTCATATGGTGCAAAAGGAATAGTATAGTTACCAAAAGATGGCGGTTCTTTCTCTCAGCCACCCATTTTGTTGTGGGGTGTAGGTACGTGAAGTTTGATGGATAATGCCATGTTGTTCCGGATACTCTTGAAATGGTGTATAAAAAGTATTCTTGGCCATTATCAAAATGAAGGATCTTAAAGTGTACACCAAATTGGTTGCGGATTTCAACATAAAATTTTTGGAAAATGGAAAACAATTCACTCATTCCTTTCATAAGATAAAGTCATGTCATTCTTGAATAATCATCAACAAAAATTACAAAGTATTTTTAACCATTGTATAACACTATTTTATTTGGACCCCAAATGTTTGAATGAACTAAAGAAAAAGGACTCGACATACAATTATCAACCCTAGGACTAAAGGGAACACAATGATGTTTCCCTAACTGACATGATTCACAATCCAAAACAGAAAGACGACTCAAGGACGAAGCAAGTAACTTAAGTGCTTTAAGCGATGGATAACCAAGTCAATAGTGCCATTGAATAAGAGAAAGAGAAATTTGAAGGGCTGTTGACAAACCACCACCACCATTAAGATAATACAGTCTACTAGCTTTATGTCCTCTACCAATCTTCATCCCCATCTTGAGATCCTGAAAAACACAAGAAGGGTAAAAGGTGATAAAGCAATTAAGAGACTTGGTCAGCTTACTAATAGACATAAGATTAAGAGAAAATTTGGAAACATATAAAACCGATGACAGGGATAAGGGATCTATGTCAACATTACCAACACCGCATATAAAAGATGTGGAACCATTAGCAAGGGTAATAGAGTGGAGCACTGAGAAAGGGAGAAAAACACATGGAGTCCCAATCATATGATCGGAAGCTCCTGAGTCGATAATCCAATGGGAGGGTTTGGATGCCAGACAAGCCATACTTGAATGTGCGATGGTAGCTGTATTCTGTTGAAATGTGGTCAGGATAAACCACTCATATTCATCACGTGAGTCACTCATCATCTTCTTCCCGGAGGCATCCGTAGATGTAGAAGGCATTTGATCAGCTTGCTGAATATCCTATCTTGAACTACCATCACTAGCTACTACATGATTTGCGCAAGTTGAAGGTGGGCCATGTAAATCATAACAAAAGTTGATGGTGTGCCTTTCCATACCATGATGTGTACACCTCCTCGGACCATTACTACGTCCTCTGCCACGAGCTACACTTGAATCACGACCTCCAATACGTCCACCACCACCACTACAATCGAGATGAACTCCCCGAGCTCCACCTCTAACTCCACGACCTCCCCCTCGTCACTGCAAAGGCAAACCTATTGAGATATTAGGGTTCTTTGTAGGTCCAACAAAAATCCTCCAAAGATGGGAAAACACCTCTTCTAGAGAAGGAAGAGCAAACTTACCTAGTATTTGTGCTCTCACTAGTTCATATTCAGGTTTCGGCCCTACTAAAATTCTGGTTACATCAAGTTGCTCTCTTTGTTGTTGCTGAATCTTAACATTAGAAGTAAAGGGATGGTACCAAGGTTTAAAAATTCGATACGATATACCTGATACGGGGCGTATTGTATTGTATCTTTGAAAAACGGATATGGGATACACATGGAAATTGGGCATCTCATCTTTTTTCATGCGTATCGGACCTGTATTGAGGGGTGTATCGGGGCGTATTGGGGGTGTATCAAGGCGTATTAGGGCATATCGGTAGCGTATCAACGAAAAATATATGGCCAAAAATTGAAAAAAAAGGGGGGGGGGAAGCGAGCTTCTTTTCTCTGAAATAAGCCTTCTTTCACCACCTAAATGACTCTAAAACTCCAAACCTCATTCCTAGAGTGCTAGATTTGCAAGAAAGAAGTGTGAATCGTTAGTTTTTTTTGAAGACTTTTCAAATTTTGAAAAATATATGGCAAAGATAGGTAAATTTTTTCAATTTTTTATAATATCTTATGATTTCTTTTTTTCTTGAATGTTTAAGTTTCTGTTAATCTACATTCCTTACATTCAAAATCACATTTTTTTTTGTGTTATCAGTAGATTTATGGAAATTTAATGAAGATATTTGAGGAAAATAAATTAACAAAAAATTTGAAAATGTAATTTTTTTCTTTGCCTATAAAGACTAAATATGTTTTAGATCTATGGATTTATATATCATATCCATAGAGCAATTGAAATTTCTTCTTTAATAATTATTTTATATTTTTATATTTTAGAATTAAAAAATAAATAATTAATTAATTATATTTTATCATTTGATCACAATGATTGCATATATTATAATTCTATGGATGATCTATCATATCCACAAAGCAATTGAAATTTCTTCTTTAATAACTATTTTTTTAATATATTATATAATGTTTATTTTTTTATAATTTTTGGAAATAAATAATAAATAATTGTTAATTATATTTTCACTTAGAATTTGTGCCAATTGGAATTTCTCACCATTCAATTTGATAGACGTCATCTGAACATTCAAGTAATCAGGGGGAACCACAACACTAGACTTGTGTTCACTACTATCTCCCATATCTGATTTTTTTTCTTCACTCACCTATATGTCACACGGCTAATTCACTTTGTTATCCTCCACTTTCAATATCATAAAACCCTCCAAATGCACACCACACACCAAGCACTAGAGCTGCAGCTAATCAGCCATCAAATCACACGATAACACCTATACTCCACACTACAAAACTGACATGTACTCAACTGAACACTGCACCATCCAAACCTGCTCTCTTTGTACCATCGATTAGAGAGCTTCCTACAAATCACCACAAACAACCACCGCACCACAAACTGGAGGCATGAAGACCTCATAAGGGAAAAAACGGTCACTCCTTTGCAGCCTTTCCCATAATCTCCAAGGAGTTCTTGAGAAATCTGCAAAACCCTATAGAAATTGGTGATAAAAAAATTCTGGGCAGATCTGAACTTGTTATAGCACCTCTGATACCATGACAAAGTTCAAATCTGCACTAGTATTCAGTTAAGAATAGCAGTAGAAAGAGGTTAGAGGAGATAGAAGAGAGTAGAAGAAGAGGAGAGGAGAAGAAAAGACTGGTTCGAACAAGAGAAAAGTACTCTCTCTAGTTGGCCAGGTTATATTTATAGTTTTCTATAATAAAATAAAATGTCTGTTGTGCCCCTAGCCCCCTACTTAAGTATGGGACGCATCACTTAAACATTACACCTCACACCAAACAAATAAAAAGACCAAACTGCCCCTATACAGTCAACACTAACATGTTACCATTATATACCAACCAAACTCTTCCTCTCAATCTTCAGGTGGCCCTTCCATCCATTATCTATTTTTCCATACATTGTTCCATCCAGGGGCGTAGCTAGGATTTTTTATTGATGGGGGCCAAAGCGTAATAAACATGGATAGGGGGGGCAAAAGATAGGAACATGGGTAGGAGGGGCAAAATATATGTGAGATTTAAATGGCTACTATGGAGATTTTCAAGGCATGGGGGGGGGGGGGGGGGCCCGGCCCCCCCTCTGCCACCCCTTGGCTCCATCCATAAAAACTTTCACCTTGACCACTGTGTCCCTAAAGAGAAAAATGGTGGCTTTTTTCTCCTACCCAATCTTCAAACAAACCTTACCATTGTTTCTATACTCAAAAACAAACTTCTTTGCCTCGAATGCCAGGTCTCTTCTCCATCTCTTGAATCACCGGTTCACTTAGTTTGGTCACAAGTTCATGATTTTACCATCTCCATCCCTCCAAAAGCCATCTTTGACTTCTTGTCCATATATTTCTTCAACATGGTCTCGAGTGAAGCATTCAAGGGAACTTCTTCTTTGTGCGTCCGTTGGACGATTTCTCAATGGTCAATTTCAATGCCATTTTTATCTACTTGATTTCTTCCACTCCTCTGGAATAAAGAGTAAAAGAGTTGCAAGGTATGTTTAAGGCCGTATTAAAACCTCAAGGTATCTTTAAGTTAGTTTCTAAAAATTCAGGGTATGTTTAAGTCTTTTACCCAAAAGAAAATTATACACATAACTACCAAAATTAATTGCTTCTTCCTATAAGAGTTTCTACCAAAGAGCTAAAAACGAAGAAAAAGAAAGAAAAGATGTTGTATAGGTTTTATTGAGTGGAATTACTAAGCACATTGCCATTTCCATAACTATCATCTTAAACAGCAAGAGGAACTAAAGGCTGAACAGCATCCTATTCAATCATTCCCAATTTCACATCTCATCAAGGTGGTTTCTACATTTAATCAAAATTTATCTGGGCATCAAACCTGCATTCCTATGTTTCAGTTAGGAAGTTTTATGCAGTTTCAGAAATAAACATTCTCCAAGTGAACAGTAGCCTTTTGAAGTAGGAATTGCTTAGTTTCCAAATTTAAGAATTACTCCCCCATTGAATCATTCAAGGCCTGCCAAAAAAATGAATGCATTTAGTTCTCAACCAGTATGATGGATATATTTTTTTTTTTATCAATAACTGTGAATTGTATTGAATTATGATTATGAAAAATTACAAAGCAATGGGGCTAAACAATCTTAGCACCCGAGTACAACCATTGAACACCAAAATACAATTACAATACAGCCCAAAATATAGAGTTCCTGTTCACCCCTTGTCTAGCTAGACCATCTGCCAGTGAGTTTGCACTTCTCTTTACCCATTTGTACTTGTAGAGAAGATGGGCCGAATGGCCCATAGGCTGTTACTCTATGTTATCTTTATGTTCTTCTCTGTAATGGGCCTTATTCTGGGCCCATACTCTTCTATGCTCTGTTTTTGTAATTTCTTGTCCAACCAAGG